ATTACCCAACCAATCCAAAGTGCTTCATAAAGAAAAATTTCATGTGGGTCCCACCAGCCAGCCACTTCAGGAGACTTTAAGAAGACTGTCATACACTGGTCCCCAGTGAACAATGCACCTGATGTGTTAGAAGAGCCTTCCTACAGCTGGAAGAATCATGATTTAAATTGTCTTATAAACTGAAGCACTAAACTAAAACTTTTGAATGTACCAACACATATAGATTAAAATCAACTTAATACAAGAGCATTCAGCAATGCAGTGAAAGAGAATGAATCCATCTTTTTATGTCTGTTCCAAATATACAAAATAAACACAGAAAAAGTTTGAAAGGGTGTAGATGTATGAGAAGGAAAGAAAACGCAGTACATGGGCCCAGAAGGAAGTTTATTTTAATCAGTCCAGCAAGCACAGTAATTTTCAAGTATGTGGCTTTCACCTATTTCCTGTACAAAGAACGAAGTCTTCTGGGGCACTCTCAACAGCAGCCTTCCCTCAGTATTTTACTAGTGTTCAATATAATTGAAGAACTGCCTAAGAACATAAACTACCCCAAGACCAATTACAACTGATCTTGCAGGATGAAAGTAATGTCAGTTATTCAAGGGAAATGTAAATCAGCTTTATCAACTACCACTAATATTTATAGAATCAATAGCATTTTCCTGAACTACACTATTTCATGTAAAAGGTACAAATCGGCAAGGAAAGAGGTGTTACTTGTCTTTAAGTCAGTTTCTTACTTGCATTGCCAGATACACCTCCATTCTCCAAGTTGAACATCTGTTCTTTCAGTATTGTCATTGTCAGAAGGGTTTTCCAGAGGAACATTGGACCAAAGCTGAAGACAACTGGAACCAGTCAAAAGGCGAGTGCCTAAAACAGGTATTTGTAACAGTGTAACTACAAAATAAGTAGCAAAATACAAACTTCTCTATAAAAAAAAGGACCTTTTGCAAAGCTGGAAATGCAGACCAAATATGCCAGATATTATTGTAACAACTTTTCTACAGCAAAGTTACTGTAATAAGTGTGCCTTTCATATCTTTCCTCTAGATGGATAGAAACTGGTTTAATCTTGCTAGAAGATACTCTTACATATTAGAAGACATTTTGGTCTGATTTTCTACAGTTCAAATTGTGAAAAATTAATCATATTTTCCAAGTAGTTAATTATTCTCTAAAGGAAACACCTCGAGCTACTGTACACATCCCTCTTTCACAACAAATACTTGCCACTTCATGTTTTTAAACAGCAGATATTGCTGAGATTAGGATAATCGACTCAGACTGTGCAGATGCACCTAATATTTTGGCTCTCCTATAGTACGTGACAAACAGTAGATTTCACTCCACCGTGGTGTTCTCCATCATGCTAGGAAAACACAAAAATCTTTTACTCATCCCCAGAGAATGGTTAAATTTAAATAAAAAATAAGTTGCAGTAACAAAACACACACGTGTTTCTTTCATTCTATTCTTACCTGTGGGATCCCACGTTAAATTCTGTGCTATGGCTCCCAGTAAGATTTGAGCATTCTTCTGCCACTGATAATGTAACATCTGAAATTTAAGTTTCCACAAACATCAGCATGAAAATGCTTCCTTCCTCTCCTTTCCCTTTTTACAAGAGAAATAGTACATCCTCACTGTACACTCCAACTTCTACGAAGGAGGCATTTAAAATAAAATTACCACTTAGTTAATAAAATTGATTAATTGTTAATTATTAAAGTAAAAAATAAAAATGTTATTATTA